AGACTTTTTAGATGATACTTCATTAGACTTTTTAGATGATACTCCACTAGACTTTTTAGATGATACTCCACTAGACTTTTTAGATGATACTTCATTAGACTTTTTAGATGATACTTCACTAGACTTTTTAGATGATACTCCATTAGACTTTTTAGATGATACTTCATTAGACTTTTTAGATGTTACTCCACTAGACTTTTTAGATGATACTTCATTAGACTTTTTAGATGATACTCCACTAGACTTTTTAGATGATACTCCACTAGACTTTTTAGATGATACTTCATTAGACTTTTTAGATGATACTTCACTAGACTTTTTAGATGATACTTCATTAGACTTTTTAGATGATACTTCATTAGACTTTTTAGATGATACTTCATTTGAATGAAATTTAAAAAAAAAACTTCCAAAGAATTATTACACGTCGGTCTTCGTAGCAATCCCAGAATCTATGGTATCGAATACGTTATTATTTGTAACAGACTGTACGCCAGTTTAGTAGTAAAAAAAAAAATCTACACCACCACATGGCCTACAAAAAAACAACAACAACAACAAAAACACAGTTATTTGTTTTGTTCCTTGACAAGAAGAAATGATCTGATATATTCTATACTCGACATAGCACTCCATCATTTCATTGCGGGAAATCTTATTTCCTTTAAATATAATCATGCCTACCCATATTTGATTTTTTTTTTTTTAAATAATTAAAAATTATGGATGTTAGTAAATCACACAGGCTTTCTTTAAAACCTAATACAAATACCACGTTCCTATAAATGACAGCATTCAGCACTTGCTTATTAAAATAGTTAAAAATGCATTTTGAAAAAAAACCAAAAAACATCATTTTGAAAAAAAAAACTTTATTAAAATAAATACCGGTACATAAAAAATATGTAAAAAATATAAATACTTTTAAAAGTGAAATTTTTAAAACTAAATTCTTTTATGCTGTATTTACTGGTGAGACATTAAAACCATTCCAAACAAACATCAGACATTCAAGTTTCTCTTTTTAAAATTAATATGAATTATTAAAGACCCAAAAGTAATTACCCCCCCCCCCCCCCCCCCCCCACCAAACCCTCATTATCAGAACATACATAAAACAACATTTATTTATCTCATACAGCTCAAGACTGCCCAAAAATAGTCTATGGGAATAGACGACATTGAATGTGTATTTATTAATGTTAACAGTTTTTATGTACAGAGATGAATGAAATGGCTTCAATATTTTCAAAGCAACTTTCTCTATTCTAATTCAATATTTAAAATTTGACTCAGCATTTCATTTTGCAGGAAAAAAATAATAAATTCTTTGAATTCTTATAAATTGGAAACCATCATAAATTCAGTGCATAAATATCCAGTTTGTATGGCAGCAAGATGTGTCCGATTTAATGCTCTATGATCTATAAATAAAACTATACTATCAAGACCTTTACATTTTATTTATTGTAACTGGAAAGTCATATAAAACTATGAAAATGCACACAAAAAGAGGGGTCGGCTATTGTAATGTAGCCTGTTAATGAAAGTGAGCATAGTTATGTAAGTTGTGATTGAAGCTGGGCATACATCACTTAATGCAACAATAATAATAACCTTTAAATACAGCAGTGGAATCACTCAATCAAAACAACTCATGTTACGCCTTAAATCTTATTTTTCTAAAAATTAAAGGATCTCTTACTTTTTACAAACTTTCAATTATAATACGTTGTGACCACAGTGATATTAAGTTTGCTAAGGTTTGTAAAGAGATAAGAGCCAAGAAATTGAATTTAATTTCATCTGAATTATAAATCATGAAGGGTTTTAGGGGTAGGTGGGGTTTGAAATTTCTTAGAAATTTTTTTTTTACATCATGGGGTCGGGTTGACAGTTTAAAAAAACTACCATGTTGTCCTCTTCTGATGAAGGTGCCACTTAATCGTTAAATGGGGAGAGCACCCAGTACCATTTCAAACCCACTATTTATTTACAGCAAAAGACTAAAATGTTCAAATAAAGAAAAACAACCGAGGCAACAATAAGGAATGGGTATTTTTTTAAAAAAATGTAATAGTTTTAATATCCTTAAAAATACTTTTAAATGTCTTGCAACTATTTAAACAGTGTCAAAATGAGGTTAAAATTTTTTTTATACAATATAGAAAATAAGAATCAAGTAGATAAGAAAAAGTAATGAAATATAAAAAAAATTATTTAAATTGTAATGTAATAAATAAAGGTAAGCATGAACATTTACTTTTTCTTTGCTGTTATTGATATAAGGGGACTGAATTCATTTGAAAGGAGAACTTACATTCATACCATTTATCTTTTTGTCTTTTTCATTATCCACTAAAATAAGAATGTGCTTACAAAAACCGAAATCTATCTAGAGCTCTTTGTGTACAGTTTGGCCTACACAATGACAATCTGGCATTATTAATATATGTCTCCTGGCTGCATGTGTTGTGAAACTTTCAAAGATGGAGTTTTAATGGTTTTTAAAAAAAATGTATTGTCACAAGATAAGTTGTATGAAATAAATCATAAGATGAATCTAATATAACATTTCTTTTGTGTACATGAGATGAATTAAAAAATATTATCTCAGATGTGTAAAAAAAAATCTATATATAACTGTATAAAGCAATGAAACATTTAAATTATGCATAGCTTTCCGTAACTATACAAAAGATGTTATTGTAAACGTGATGAAACAATTCCCCACACAATGACGATCAGGCAATACAAACATTTGAGGAATCAGTTAATAAATAACATGTTTAAAGATTTGACGAGTTCCCTGAGTTTTATGTTGGCATTTGTTGAGAATGATGACACATTTTATATGGTATTACATCTAGTATTACATATAGTGTTACATCTACATGAACTTTCAATATTTCAAAGAATGCCCTTTTTATAACCTGGATTGGTTTCAAAACAATATTTTTGGGACAAGTGGAATACAGAAGTCTAAAAAGAGAAGAAAAAAAAAATTTTGTAGGAATAAAGTTAAAATCAAAATTGGTCACAGAAAATTTAGCAGTTTTTAATAGAAATTTATAATGGAAATTGCAGTTAAATGATTCACCAACCAGACATATGTTATTTCATAGTTATTCATTTGTCTTTGGTGTTCCTTACTTAAACTGCTGATATAGCTTTAAATAAAATGACCAAATAAAATACAGTTCAATTCAATTATTTTGGTAAAAGTTGTGTAACAATTTTTTAAACTTGACCAACAGAGCTGTTAGGTAAATATAATACATATCTCAAATCATATAGGGAAGATTAACTATGATGATATGCAAAGTTTTGATTATTGAAATGTCCTTATGAATTGGACATGTAGCCTTTTCATAATATAACATGAATCAGGCGTAACCTTGAATGTGAATTAATAAAGAGTTGAATAATTTGTTCATGATTAGTTTATGAGTTTATGATTAGTTTAGCTCATCATTAATCATAAATAAATTAATAATAAGATATAATCTTTCAACAATGCAACTTTTATTCAAATTATTCCCAAGTCTAAGTAGAGAACTGTGAGTATGTTCTGTGTCACCCTGTGGGAAAAATTAAAAACTGAATTTACAAAATACAAAACAATTTTCTTGTGATTAATTCAACAGATACCTCAGTTTAAATCTAAAAGGTATGTCCCTTTTTTTGCTATGTCAACAAATCATTAGCCATGTAAGCAAGGCAGCGTTTTAAAACAATGTAATATTTGGTTTAGCATAACATCATCGTCACAACTGATAAACATAAACGAACATGTGGAGATATTTTTGTATGCCTCTAGTTACAAAGTCAACAGAATTCATAAAAGTTGTCATGTGGAATACATAAGTTTTGAATAGGTAATGACAAAAATATAATGCTTTCAAATATTCAAATTGCAAAAGTAGATCTGTTCTGCTGGTGCATTTGGTATTAATTTTGTGAAGGGGGATAGGTAAAATAAACTATTCCCCTTCTCGTATTATTTCATGGGAGTGACATTTTTTTTATGTTTTAGAAAGTGGTGAGGTCAGTCATGGTTTCAGAAAAAAACAAAAACAAAATGTAATAGTCAGTGAATGTTTCAGGCTAACCACTAAAATCCAACACAGAAAACACAAAGTTCATCTCACAGCTCACTTTCAAATAGAATTGTTAAAAACATTTTATAAATAAGCAACAACAACAACAAACAAAAAAAGACGTATTGTAAGGAAATGGGTCATGTTATGAACATCACAATAAACTATCAAGTAGCTGATATAAAATAAATCCATCTCATAATTCCACCACAGAAATTTTCCAGATATTTTTCTATTAGCTTTATTTCAGTTAATGAATGCAAAAAAAAAAAAACTTAAATAAAAAGGCTTTGCGGAGTGATTAAAAGAAAGAAACAAAGAGACTACTACTGTGTTTATAATTGTAACATCCCCCCCCCCCCTATTGTGGTGACCACTCCCGAAAGCTTGATTCCAACTAAAATTTGATCTAAGTCCAATCCAAGAATCCTAAAATGGCAGTTGTTAATTTAAAAAAAAACAACTGTAAAAGTGAAATGATTTTCATTAGCAAAACAAAACTGGACAGAGCACTATCAACACAACATTAAATAAAATTAGATAAAAGTGAAGGGATGGAATGGCGATGGAATAGAAATTAACCAAAAGTATTAAAACAAAAACCAGCTGAAATTTCAAGCCATTCAAAATAGTTTTAAATAAATTAACATCTTTGGCAAATAAATTTTTTTTTTTGCTTTAGGATGCAAAACCAACTAGGGGAAACAACAATTAAATTAATAGCATACATCGTAAATCAATTTAACAAAGTAATGTTGAAAATCTATCCATTTATAACAGCTACATTTAGATTTGTTCAGAACATGAAAATTTTTACTTCCCTTATCACCACTGGCACCCTTTTCCAGATGTTTCTTAAATGATAACATTATTATTTCAATGATTTTTTGCCTGATGTTTCTTAAATGATAACATTATTATTTCAATGATTTTTTGCCTGATGTTTCTTAAATGATAACATTATTATTTCAATGATTTTTTGCCTGATGTTTCTTAAATGACAAAAATATTTTTTCATGAACTTGAATTTTAAACCAGTCCACTCCATGAAAATCTAAATGGCATTTTGTTCTTGATTTGGAGTGTCCAAATCACATGTCTCTAGTAGAGCGTCACCATTAGGTGTCTGCAACAGACTGGTCTCCAACACATCTCCCCCACCCTGCTCTAATGCGACTAAACCGTTTTTGGTGAACATATTTATTGGGCTTAAGTTTTCATCCTCTTTCAGATGAAGGTGCAATCTATCGGGGAGTGGAACTCCTTTTGTTTCTTTCAAAAGTAGCATCAGGAAGCTGCAGACCACAGCCAGAATGGCAAAGATGGTAAATGGGATGTGAATTGTTGTCTGACCCTGCGTGAATTAAAAAAAATAAATTAATCCAATACATTTTAAAATTAGGATAAAAAATGTTTTTACATAAAATGTCCATTGCAGCATTTCCTAAAGTTTTCATATTGGTGGCCAGATTATTTTTTATTCTTATGCTTTGTGGCCTACTTAAATTTATATACTTAATCCTGGTCTGTGGATAGCACAAAACAGTTTTCATTTAATGCAAATTAATTTAATTATAGGACTGACTGTTGTAAAAATAGTATCATACAAAACAGTTTTCATATAAATCAAATTATAGGACTATTGTAAATATAGTATCACACAAAACAATTTTCATATAAAGCAAATTAATTTAATTATAGGACTGTTGTAAAAATAATATCAAACAAAACAGTTTTCATAGAAAGCAAATTATAGGACTATTGTAAAACTAGTATCACCCAAAATTCATTAGACTGGCATTGTCTGATGATATGTATGAACTTTCATCTGGTTGCAAGGAAGAAAAAATATCCTGTTTATACTCTTGTGGTCAATGACAATTACTTTTATAGTATTTGCCATCTCCACATGTCTAGGGTTCAATGTTTTATTAGATATCGTCATAATATTTACCTGGGGCTGATGTTCTGATCACATATTTGCTGTAACTATAATTTCTAAGCTATTGTTTGAGGTTAAAACAAAAACCAAAAGTGAGAACACCTAGGTTTTTTCGGGTCTGGTATTTTGTTGTATCTAAAACACTTCTCTACTGGGGTCAACCACTAAGGATTCATCTCTTAATCCGTCAACAAATCTGAGACTCACCAAAAATCCAAACTGTGGCGCTACAATTCCACCAACTCTAGCTGCCATGGAACATGCACCAATTCCAATATTTCTATTTTTACAAAAATATAGTTTTCATCAGTACAAGTTTCACAGAATATCAACAATATACTTTCAAAATGAGACTAACAATGTATAAAATTAAATTCTGGTACATTCTATGTGAAAAAGTACATTCTATGTGAAAAAGTACATTCTATGTGAAAAAGTACATTCTATGTGAAAAAGCATTCTATGTGAAAAAGTACATTCTATGTGAAAAAGTACAAACATATTAACTCCTTCAGCAACAATATTATATATATGGAATGGCACAAATGACTTTTTTTTTTCATCTAAAACATAATATTGGGGAATATTTTTCTCTTGTTTCGAAAAAATGAAATATTCACTTGCCTTATAACAGTTGGAAAAGTTTCTGCTGAGAAAATCTGCACTGCTGCCCAGGCTCCAGCAATGCAAGACTTTCCAATCATAGCCATGGTCAGAGTTAGAGCTGACAGAGTTACAAGGTTACCTGTGAATGAGGACATTTTTTTATGCTTATTTCATGACTTTATTTACCATACATCTGTCCCAAATAAACAGTATCAAAATCAAGAGGGAAAAACTAAAAATGCTGAGTGAATTTTAGATTTTTTAAAACTAACACTGCATGCAATATAATTTTAAAAAAATCTATTTACATTATGCAAGTAGTAGTTGTTTAAAAGGATCTTACCCATTAATGCAATAATGAGAATGGAGAAACATGCTAATCCTGAACTAAGCATAAGACAGAAAACAGTTTTGCGTCGACCAAAATAGTTGTTGCTAAAAAGCACAAAGAAAAGTGCTGGTATCTCCACAATCCCTGATATAAAAACATTGATGTATCTGTCACCAACCAAGTTTTTACTGTTAAAGTTGTGGCCATAATACACTGAACTTGACACAAACCTGTAAGAATTTTAAACAATAAAATTTTTGACTTACAAAATTCAACTTTTAAAACTAAACAAAGTACCATACATTACTACATCACTACATATAAAATATCCAAGTATAATATGATCCCATAACGTTTTGTTTGCAAAAAGCTCTGAAACCCAGACCTTTCAACCTGCAAAGAAAAAAAATCTGAAGGGGGTTGCATGCAGGGGGGAAGTGGGACCGCTGCCCCTCAGGGGGTGGCGCCCCGTGGGGGGGGGGGGTTGGTTTGAGATCTAATGCACACGCCTTTTTTAGTAAATAAAAGAAATATAAAGTTACCTCAATTGTCTTTAAAGAGTCCACATATCACCACAGAACATGAGAAAAACATTACTGGAAATGTTTATATACAGATATATACAGTATAGAACAGAAGATCCATTTTATTTACATATTATGTACACAGGCTGCTAAGACTCTAAGAGTTCAGTTTTCCAGCATATCCTTAGTGGCCTTTTTGTACTTGTCTAACAGCTCTTTGGACAACTGAAGGCTAGCATTGCAATTGATTTTAGTTACAAACAAGTTAGAAAAAGTATAGTTTCGTTGTAATTTTTCTTTACAATCTTCTAGCATTCTGCAAGTCTGAAAACATTTCTTTGACTCTGGCATTACGATCAGCGTTGGCTAGAGAAATATTTCCTTTATTAAGAAAGGTGGTAAATAAAATGATCTGCTAATTGAATCTTCCGATTCTTTAGCAAAGAAATTAGACACAGATTACTTTTAGCTGCAGTTGTATGTTGTTTTTTGGGGGGTTAAAATATGTTAATTAATAACATTGTGCCCATCACTTTCAATAGATTTAACCATTTAATTAAGAAAAGCTTTAACAAAAAAAAAGTCTGAATTATTTTTTAACCTTATAAAAAGGATAAATCACGATAAGATCAACTGATGATTGAAGAATAATTTGAAGATTGCGGTTCACTTCGATAAAAACAAGACAGTGTCTACCCATCAGGCGACCGGGAAAATTGTGCGGGAGATATTCATCCGGCAAGCCTGCCACGCTTTATAAAAAACATTGTCACTTTTTAATCAATTTTTCATTATATATACCAGCAATGGTTCTATTATTTCTTTTGTATAATTGAACATATTTATTTTTACGTGTGAATTTCCAGAGTATCTTGAATTTGTTGAAATGAAGTATGTATACTCTAATCTACAATTAGCGGTCACATGACAAGGGTGATGGACAAATATCTCGTGCAACTTTGTTGCGGTGGTCATGTGACTAGGTTGAATATATAATAACCGGACAAATATCTCAAGAATTTATTCACTTATTCGCCCTGTCGCCGGACATGTAGACAATTTGTAAAACAAATACAACACTTCCTATCATACACGAATTTTTAATTATTTTTTTTTTGGTCGCTTTCGGATTTTTATGACGGGTGAAAAATTATAAAATTTGAAAAATCGAAATTTCAAGGGGTTTTTGTTGGAAGGTCGGAATGAGGTGTTAAAAAAACAGTATAATTCCAACTAAATCGGAAGGGTCTGGAAACCCCATGTCCACGTATAATGCAATATATTAATCTTGTTTCCTAATAAATCAATACGAACTAATGGAATCAATATTTATCTTAAAAAATAAAAATGTCAAAATCCTTTCAATTATTATAATATGTAAAATGAACTGTGGTCATACTCACACCGATACAACTATGCTTATATCCCTTCAAAGGGGCGTTACTTAATGTTACTGGTGTTATATGCAGATATGATGCATACTCGGTCAAAGAATGTGATTGTGCCAAGTGGATTAGGCTGCATAGGCATTAGTATATATCGCAAGGGTAATAAACATATTTCTTACACATGTGTATTATGCCAAACCCTAATTTTAAGTAACATTTTTTACCCTAAATTTCTTGTATATACCGTACGAGTAAAATAGTTAACTATTTTGACTAAAACAAACCCTCACATATATATTTGTAACTTTGAATATTAAAACGTGTATTGTCATGTTTTATTAACAAAACTAAAACTCATTACTTGCATGAAATCTGTTAGCTAGCTTAAGTACTAACTGTTGGTGTTTTTTCTTACATTTCAGTTACTCTTAAACTTTCTTAAACAACACTGAATTTAAGTGTTATATAAATTTAAATATGAATTTACTTTTAACATGCTGGGAAGATTTTAAGTACAACACCCCCCCCCCCCCCCCCCCCAAAAAAAAAACAAAAAAAGAACAACTGAATATTATTAAGAATAAATCTACTCAGCAAAGTCTTACCATCCAAACATACAAATGAGGGATCCTTTCGTTAGAGTCAACGAATTGCAGAGATGCCAGTAAGAGTACTTCTTTTCTTCATCCTTTCTAATCCTTTCTCTCTGCAGAAAATACAAGCATTATTCAAGCATTTTTTTAAAATGCATCTTATTTTACTGCTGAAATTCAAAGTGAGAAAAGGACACAAAGCAGCTTAAAAACCCTTCCTTAGTTCATTCATTAACAACTCCTTTGAATTTAAATATACAGAAAAAAGTGTACGGCTTTTCAGCGTTAACATATACTTAATCTTGTTTATCATTTAAAAACATTCTTAAAATATTCATAGCACTATATAATAACTAAGTAACTCAATCCATTTTTTATGAGTACGTCACTGCCTATTGATTCAGCAGATGTGCTGTTGCAGAATTGATTTTGTAAATCTCTTTTCCACGGAGGTGAAATTGTAAATGTCTTATATTATAACCAGACTTTGATTGATGAATCTACTTTTTTGTCATTGAAAGCAGTTAGGTCAGATGCTCATAAAAGTAAATCATTTCAAAGTAATATGGAGGAAAAATTAAATTATATTACTTTATGCCTTAAATTATATCAATTATGCCTATTTCCCACTAACATATTACAGTCTCATAACTATCACAAGCTGTAAATGGGTGATTGGAAGAGGGGGTATTAAAAATTGGATGGCTGTTTTTTGTTCTAAAAATGATGTGAAAGGCCCTCTCCGTTCCTATAAAATATGTTGAAATCTTATGTTGCTGCGCAGAACAGTTGAAAATGCATTCTCTAGTTTCCTCTGTTTTTGACTCGTTGCGGTTCAGCCGTAAGAAATATTTATGTCACAAAATTACATCATACAGCACCGCAGCAAAAAACTGAGAGGAGGGGCCATCTGTATAGTAATTACAAAAAAAAAGTCAAATTTTCTACCCCCAAGTAACCCACTAGAGCAGTGGTTCTCAATCTTCCTAATGCCGCGACCCTCTAATACAAATCCTCATGTTGTGGCGACCCCCAGCCACAAAATTATTTTTATTGCTACCTCACAACTGTACAGTATATGTGTTTTCCAATGGTCTTAGGCGACCCCTGGGAAAGGGTCGTTCAACCCCCAAAGGGGTTGCGACCCACAGGTTAAGAACCGCTGCACTAGAGTAACTACAGTTTGCATTTACTATATGGCCCTTAGTGATTTACATATGTGTTATATTTATTTTTACCCAACCTTTTTTTAAAATTTGTATTATATTTCCCTATTTTGAAGTGTACCAGTTAGAATTTAACACAGGGAGCCTGGTGAAAACCTTAAGTTAGCATAGGCGCCGGGAAAGGAAAATTTTAGCAGCACTGACGAAGGCAAACAAAATATATGTCACATGCGCATTGAACATACTGTGGACTAATTATTAATGTAATTTATCTACTACTAAGAACTATCTGGAGTTCATTTTTGAAAATACATGGCACCATTATGAAGATAATTTCTATATAAATTGTGTGATACTTTTACAGTATTTGAGATATAAATATGCTAATTTTGGACATTCAGGATGAATATTGTAGAGTTTTTAAATAACATATGTACTTTTTGCAGTTATCGATAGGCCAAAAAATCTCAAAAATCAAAAACCCCTATCTCCCCTCACAGTGTACATACTAAATGGATTGCAGCGGATTTACTAAAATTGTCAGTAGGGCGACAATGCTAATATTACTGAAATATCACCAATGTCATTATGAAAATGTGGCGGTGTTGATTTTATTGACTTAAATATTTAGCCCCCACCCCAACACAAAATCTCCTAAATCAACACCGCTCCATTCCCTCTAAGAGCAAACTTAATGTATTGAGAGATGGTCCTCAACCACTAACATTTCTCGATCCATTCACAGCTAGTTTCAGAATGCAGATGCAAGTTAATACTAACAACCGAAAATGCACACATCTTTTAATTATTTATTTCTTTATATCGGAAAAAACTACCTTAATGTAATTATTTGCAACCCAGTCTCTTAAAATCATAGTTCTGTTAGGTCTTGGCATACAATCATAAAAAAACATATCAAAATCGTACGTTGTACATCAAAATCGAAAGAGTAAACAGGTCTGGTCACAGTCAATTGTCGTATTTATAGTGATGGAGTAGCTCCCTCCAGAATAGAATTCCCTACAGAACAGAATGTCTAGAAATTCAATGGCCAGTGAGTGTCTCTCCCTCTATGTAATATAATGTAGACCTTTCTGGAAAAGTAAACAAAACTTAAATCGTCCCCATAGGTTTTTCATTCCTTTTGAGGAATTTCGCTGTGGCACACTTAGCTTGGTTTGACGGCACACGTGGTACACAAGTAAGATGCAGCAAACCAGTTGTGGGATAGACTACTGCAAACAGTTCATAGCACTTCACATAGTAATACCTTTAAATGGTAGAAATGTACATAAAGGTTTGCTAATAAATCTTTCTAACCTTGACAAATTGGTCTAAACAGCTCAGATCAGGAACTTGACTTTTGTTAAATTTTGCTGCCTTTATAAGTATGTCGCTGGCCTCCTTAAGGTGGCCGCGACTTAATAGCCATCTGGGACTCTCATCAATCAGCCTGAACAAGGAGAGAAGGGAAAAAATGCACATAAAAATAAACATCCCAATCATGAGTAGTTTAATGAGTCCTCAATAATGAAAAAAAAACTGCATTTATTTAAAATTCACATGGTTGATTTAAGTTAATTTGCATATAGATTCCTAGGTCAGCAGCCAATAAAAACATTGGCACTCACCACCATAAGGGTAAAAGCGTGATGCTAGTTGCAGACATGGCAATATCTAAGTGCCTCCAGTTTCTTAGAAAGTAAGCCCAGGGTGCTAAAGTCATGAGACCCACAGCCCAGAAACCTATGCAGCCACAAAATGTTCGCCATTCTGGTGTCACAAACTCCAGTGGAAGAACAAAATTAACAACTAGGCAACCTGAAAATCATAATAAGAGTAATCGTTTAATTCTGCTAGTTAAAGAATAAAAGATAATAAATTCACCTTACATTGTATGGACTGACAGAAAGTCAACTGATGGTAAAAATAAAATAAACTGATAAAAACATTTCCAGCTTACCCCCAATAAGTCCTCCGACCACAAATCTTAAGGCAGCATAAATTTCCCAACTTGGAGCGAATCCTGTACTGAACCAAAAAATTATGAGCAGTGTATATTCAATGAAAAGAACTTTTTTTCTACCAAAGATATCTGCTAGCTGACCAGTAACAAGTGCTCCAATCAAGACCCCTACCATTTGCAATGATGTTATGAGCTCACTGATGTACTTGGAGTCACAAATCAGATGCCACTGGAAAAACAGAGGAAGAAAATACATATTTTTGTGAGATAAAAATTTTTTTTAAATGATGAATAACATACAAAAAACATTTAAAAAAAAATTGAACTGGTTTTCAATTCATGACACTTAATAATGTGTTTTTCATAATAATTTATTCAGCCACTTAAAACAACATAAGTTATGTTATTATTTTCATCACAATTACTGGATATTGTTCAGTTCTTAAATGGCGATGTCAAGCAATGGTACCACATCTGCCTGATAAACCGGAGCCAGAGGTAAATTTTTTTGAATTAGTGAGGGATATACTTAAAATGGGCAAATAATTAGGTGGCATAAAGTAGTGAAAGAATGGTATCTTTTCTTGAAAAGAACAAAAAATATCAACTAGCAAAGTTGAAAGACAGCAGCCAACTTGACATGGCATAAAAAAATTTCTATCTGAACACAGCCAAAAAAGGTATAGTTTAAGTTTATAAGGCAAAAAAGAGCAAAATGACAAAAAAAAATTAAAAATGTTGAAAAGTTATAACATATATTCTGAAACATAAAATACTGACCTCAGAAACAATTGATGTAAAATCTTGATTGAATTGTATAGTTTGACAAGCATTTTTATTACAAATTAGACTTGAGTCTGATGTTTTATTTGCTACTGGTGAAGAACAAAAATATCCTGGATTAGCAGCAGAAAATATTGGCACCAACATTGCCCATGCTAGTGGAGTTTCAAACAGGGACACCAAAATAAAAGTTCGTATTTGATATGGTCCGAATGGTCGGATCTTTTGAAGAACATTCTCATATTCTGACATGTTCAATCTGTGCAGGTGAAAATCTTTTTAAAAAAGTCTTCAATCTTTGACATAGCTGAATCTGTGAACAAAATAATTGAACAGGGGGTTATTAGAAATTTCACCTAAGGATCAGCAAAATTATTATTTGATACACAAGACTGGCAGTCAGACTGGTTCCAAATCTTTTTGAAATAGCAACCCCATCTATTATTTATAGAAGCATGCAGAACAATGAACTGAAACTCACTATGATTATACTACTATAATATAGGCCGACTGTTAATCTTAACTTAAACTATCTCTTATCTAGAAATCTATACTATTACAACTATAGTTTAAATTTGACCCTTTCATTACAGATGACATAAAAATCGCCCACTTTCAATTACCAAGGACCTCACATTGTCGTCATAACAAAGAGGCAAAGAACTTTTCTGAAATACCAAGGACATCACGTCGACATCATATTTCAATGCTATATATTTCTTTATTCGTTAATCTATAGAGAAGTTAATAAGCAAATCGGATAGCGAATGAAAAATATAGGAAATTTTGGTAAATGGTGAGTATGGACGCCATTATTTTCTCAATGGTCGCCATCATCTTGGTTGACACCTAAATCGATCCCTATGCCTAGCCTGAACCCTAAATCGACCCCTATGCCTAACCTGAACCCTAAATCGATCCCTATGCCGCATGCCTAGCCTGAACGTCGTGGCATCCATAACTTAAATAACTACCATCAGCCGAAATTTTTTTTTTTTTATTATAAAGTTTTTTTTATTGCTGAGTCAGCAAAAATCAATGCCCAAAACCAGCGGTAATGAAAGGGTTAAGTAGTTTTTAGGTTGTTTTATATTTTAATTTTATAAATAGTCATTTGAAGGTCCATTTATTGTTTTGTGCCTAAACTCTAAAGACATCTGATCAGCGATCATCCCTACTGTCCCTAGTCCTAGTTAACACTATTAACAGCTAGTAGTTAGTAGTTAAAAGGATCAAATTAATTATAAATGTCATGACATGCTGCGTAAATCTTCATCGTAATAGTAATAGCCTAGGCAATAAAATCTAAGATTAAGTATCTAAGTATTAAATTTAATATGCCCGTCTACCGTCTACGCTTATAATTTTAGTAATCGTAATAAAATAGGCCTGCCTAGCCTAAATTACTATATTTATAATTTATATTATTGGCTAAACATGTTTACTAATTCATTCCGTTATATACAACAACTATGTACTTGTACTGCAGACACGGATACCAACGCTTCGTCAAAGGAGTCCAAAGTTCACCGCTAGCAGTAGAAGTGTACTCCATGCTTGCTAGCGCAGTCCTTCAGCGAGAATGATGATGCAAGGCGGTGGTGACGGAATATAAACAAAAAGCAGGCTATTGAGAACGCGAATATTTTTTTATCGGTACCGGTATCGATATTGCTGCATAAAGAAAAGGGCGTGCAGTTTATACAACCCGTGGTGCTCGGTCGAAAGCCACGCGTGACTTTTGGAGGCCCAATATTTAAGTCCTATCCGCCCGGGGCGAGAGCCCCCTTCTCATGCCTCCGGCCAAGGGCAGTTTAGACCAGAGGCGTAGCGAGGGTGTTTGGCGCCCGGGGACAAGATTCGCGCACGGGGACAAGATCCATTTTAAAGCGCCCCCTTTTCTTTTTCTCAACTCTCAAACCCATTATTTTTACCAATAATATAGTATCAAAGCACATTTTGGCGTCCCTAACTAACTTGCGCCCGGGGACATCTGTCCCCCCTGCCCTCCCCTCACTACGCCTCTGGTTTAGACCCAGAGCTTTGCGGCGCATTTTTTTTTTTTTTGTAAACACTAGACTCGCCTAACAGACATCAGTGAAAACTAGGGTTTTTCTTCATTGGGCCCGTTTCACGACCGACGAGAACTCTAGTGGGTCATGCCCGGGACCTCGCACGATTTTCAGTAAACAAAAGACTTCCCGGAAAATTTTCCCATCCCTGAAAATCGCGAGAAATCCCGGGTCCAACTTTTAGAATACAATTTTCTTGTTTTAAATATGTATATTTCAGTAAGTCACAGATTCTCTCAAATTGTCGCTATCAGCAGCGCTCTTTTTCTTTATATGGTAGAGGTGGCATTTTAGGCCAACTCTGCAGAATTTTTTTTTTTTCGTGGAAGGGGCGGCAACAATATTGGCCCTTCCCAGTTGACACTAACCCTAGCTACGCCAATGTGTACAAATGGACCTATTTGAATTTTCTTTAGCTTCGTGGGTAAATTTTTTTTTAATGTGTCCGTAAATATGTGTGTTTGTCAGTAAAAACAATGTAAAGATTTAGAATACTTGTCCATAAATAAATATTAAAAAATTCTCCATTTTTAAAAAAAAACCTGTTGGTTGCCTACTGAGAAATAGACTATATCAACATCATGAGTGTATGCCTTAAAACTCAAGTACGGGACCAAATGAAAAGACTTTATGATGGCAAAAGCAAAGTTACTAAAGCACACTTTCAAATTTCATTGTAATGTTTATTTATTTCACTCTTTCATTGCATGCCCCTAAAATGGGACCATCGTACCGTTTTCCCATTCTACACGCGACTGGTGACCTGTGACCTGCAGAACGTCATTTTATTCTAAATAAAACAGTTTATATATAATGTGTTGTTTTTTTTTGTTGCTGAATGCTATTGTGTCCCGGGAGGGGGGGGGAAGGGGGTTAATGGGGGAAATAGCCAAAATAATACATATTTTAAAATTGGAAAGAGGGGGGAGAGACGGAGAAAGAGAGAGAGAGATAGAGAGTGAGAGAGAGTATGAAACGCTTTATTAAATAGCCTATTTAAATTAATGCTATGGCTGAATTTTTATAATTATTTTAATTTAAAAAAAAAAAAGGTATGCCTACTACTTGATTAGAGAATCTGACGTAGGGCTGATTAATTTGACTTGCATTACCCTTATTGTCATGAAATAAATTGTAATCGAGTTTTTTCTTTACATATGGTATCGCCCAGGTAATATAGTAATAATTTAAGAGTTATCCCCCCTGTAAGATAGCAATGGATTGCGTTTGTTTACAGACAGCAACGACACAAAACAAAAAACAAAAAAAAAAAGATTATCTAATATAAATTTATTATAGGCCTAGTAAGCACATATGTTTAGTTTGACTAGTAGGCTATGTAATGATACGTATTTGGGGGGCATGAAATAAAATTTTGGGGAACGATTAGGGCAAGGGATGCGGGTTAATTAATCGTTATTTTTTTTTAAACGATCCAAGTTTGGATTAACTTATTAACGATTAAGGATTAATGGAATTCCAAATTTTCAGCCCATCACTAACAAATGTATCGGAAGTCAAGTAGAAAAAATGACAGTAAATAGTGTAAGATGTGCTACAAAGACTACCAAATTACAAAACGGCAGTGAGTCACCATTGCGCAAACTACAGCAACATGTTCCAACAAGATGGATCTGTATTTTCGTGATGCTTCAAAGTCTGCCGCAGACCAGAGAAGCAATGATTATCTGCATGTCACTGGAAGAAAAGCTGTATACTGCTAGATAGCGATTGGAATGCGTCGAAGGTTTAGGCTTGTTCTATCATGGCAAGCATCGGTCTTACTGGGTGGTCAACAGTGTGTGTCGTGTAGTCGTGTATTGCTACTGCTATCGTCAGTGACCAACCACGTGACTGTGATTGGTGGTGATCAAGGCCAGATTGAAGGCAGCTTCTATTAATAACTTCAAAGAACATGAAGCTGGTACAGAGGCGTAGCGAGGGGAGGGCTGGGGGGGACAGATTCCCCGGGCGCCAAACACCCTCGCTACGCCTCTGAGCTGGTATGACCAGTATTTAAATATTATAGATAGCAACATCACTTGATAAACGATATAAAAACTTGAAGCGCTTGCATCGCAACACATAGCAGTTACTCTGAATGATGATCAGTTTGCAGACTAATGATGATACTGACAGTGCCAATGACACCATATTTTTTTTGTAGGGCATCTTTCCGTCTGCGGGAGACGATAGATTATCTTTATTTCTTGCAGCTCTTGGTGTGGCTGGTGAGACCAATCCTTGAATGGCAGTCCCTGTTACATTTCCCACACACGAATGCGGTATGCGAAGCGTCTTAAGCTGCCATGGTGGAGTCTGACTCAGATAAGGTGCTGAAAGCGCTGCTGATGTACTTCATCGCTGTAAAAACCAGAAAAAGTGGATGAATCAGTTGATCTCTTATAGTGGTGGAAGCTTAATAAACATCGATATCAGAAATTGTTATTATTGGCCAAGACTTGTTTAGTTGTTTGTGCACACCAACTACCTCAGTTCCGCATACATGTTTATTTAACACTGTTAATATGCCCGTGTGCTTGCCTAGTTGGTTACCTGATGACATTTAAAAGAGAAAAAAAACTTGTGCTGTTCAGTTAATTAAATATCATCCCCTCCTCCACCCATATCTGTAACTACATATTTTTTTAAAAATTTATTTAATAGAAAATTAATTAATCGTTAATTATAGAAAAGTTAACTATTAAAATGAACGCAATCGCCACCAGCCCTTGGAAAGATCCATTCGCATTTTTTTTTTTGAGTAGTTATTTATAACTTGCCCCTAAACGGTTACTGCAATTTACACGAAGGTTCAGATAGACACAGTCAGATATCACAGTGAGTTGAGTGAGTACACAATGAATGTCAACTACTGCGTTTTGCTTGAGCACGCAAACAACTGAACTAATAAACAAATTGACCTCGCTAAAGCTGAACAATAACACTATACGACTATAATTATACCCGCAACTCTTATTTTTACGTATTGTAATCACGTGGTAGGCTCGCCCTTGGCCTTTATCCTTTCGCATTTATAAACGCAAAGGTAGGATATTATTAGATTGAAAGACACATACAGTGTTGATTTTTTTTCTTCAAATATCCAACAAGCTTAAACAAGCATATAATTTGCTAGTGAACCATTACTAGGGATAAGCAGTGGAAAATGAGGCAACTAGTAGCGAGTGACCAACTGGTAGCAAATGACCAACTAGGACTAGTAGCAAGTCACCAACCTCCTTACTGACCTCAACCTTGTGTTTTATTCATTAATAGTATAGACAATAACAAGTAACCAACTATTTTTTTTTACAGTTTCATTTAGTTTACAACATACTTTTATTTAAATTACATTTTCACCGGGATATTCTGGGATGAACAATATTTTATTCCCATTTTCCCGGGGAATGAGAACCCCTAGTTTACTCCAGTTCAACTTGTTAGTTATTAGACTTGTTAAAATTAGCTCAGACGCAGACGCTGCACCCGCCCGCCGTTAACAATGAACTGTGGGCATCTGAGGTCAACGTACTGGCCATTAGAATCACATTGGAATTTCGGTCTGCGTGCACTATCGTGGATGTGAGTGCGAGATATCTGACATTTCTATTATGCTATAACATCCCCTCACCCCGGTGACCCGGGGGGTGGGGTGGTGTGAGGGGGGTGAGATGTAATAGTACAATTTTTAAATATGTTACAATTTATTATTTAAATTTAATAATTTTTAGCACATTATCCTCAATCATTACATAGCCTAATTACGTTTTTAGATAAACAAAATTGTTAAAAGCCCAACAAGGAAATAACAACCCAACAATGAAATAAATAAGAAATTAAAAATAATGAAGTAACCAAGATGTTGAAAATCTCACAAAAACGCTTATGCAAAATGGCATCACAAAAAGCCATTGATTGGCGTGGTTAAAGTTAGAAATTGATTGGTCCCATTACAAACTTCCTGCCCTGGATCAAGTCACTGCCGGGAAATAAAAAGTATGACTGAACATATGAGTGCCGGACTGAATTAAGTGTACACACAATATCTAAACAACCACGTTCTTTTCATTATAATAACATTTGTCCACAACTGCTGTGTACATCCGTCATGCATTTATGTGCATTCAATGGTTGTTTCTGAGTCAAGTAATACAGTTAGTCAACAGGTGGTTTTTATAGTGAATAGCTGCACAAAATGAAAATGTAGGCACAATTTAACTTTTTTTATGCGATGTTTAGACATGGACTTGTCACTCAATGTTCACCCAGTTGTCACACACTCACATGGAAACAACGATTGGTAACAAAGAATTTACTTGTTGCTAACCTTTAGACATATTAATTCTAAATTGAAAGGATGTGATTTGGTTTTGATACGAATATTTGAAATATTTGACAGCTGTGTGATGGTTGGATGTTAACAATGGAGGGCTGTGGGATAGTTGGATGTTAACAATGGAGGGATGTATGATCGTTGGATGTTAACAATG